GAAAACACCATTCCTCTGTTGATGTGGGTTACATATCACATCTTATATTGCTGCAGCACTGTCCCCCTGGTACTGGACCGCATGGCAACACTTCTTCTTGCAGCTCTTCTATTGTTGCTTGACATCGCCGTGGACATGATGTGTTTCTCTGTTGCCTGTTTAATCATTTTTCACTGATAAATTGTTTACTATGCCATAACCTAGCAGTGGCTCTCTGCATGCTAGTGTATTAAATGGTAACAGCTCATGACTATCTTCATGTTGATACATTACTCTGCTGATGGTTTCAAGCTGTGCCACAGGTATTTATTTTTCAGAAATAATTGAATAATTTTTATTTTATATATTTTCCCAATTCAGTAGTGGAAGAGGGATTGTGTCATTAAATGAAAGTCTTAGTGAGAAGAACACACTATGTGTAACGAGTGCAGCATGTAGTCATTTTACATTTATTAGCAACAGTTTGTCACTCTAGTCCGCAAGTGAACTGTACCGACTGAGCGACTGCCACTTTTCAGCGAAGTTAATGCCAACTTTTGTGGATAGAGGGTGTCACATGGTCAGCGCAACGGATTGCCATGGCCGTTAATCTCCGTTTTCTAGACCAGTATCCTGGTGTGTATGAATCCTAAATGTATTATTTTCTTTGTTTGAAGGTGCAAAAGAAGATACGTATATCAAAGAAAACAGGAATTCCTCTTGAAGTACTAGATGGCATTAATGGACATACGAAATTGACAGCACGTGCTCTACTTAGACACAGCACTGATGAAGATAGAAATCCCTGTAGTGACGATGGAACAGAATCAATGGTTTCAGCCCTATCTGTACTGTCTATGCGCCCTAAAGATGAAACACCAGAGGAACGCTCTGAAAGGAAAAGAGCCCTCCGACAGTACAGGAAGGTATGTGACATTATATTGACCTGTGGAGTAAGTAGAAATGACATCTTTGCAAATTGTGTCCACATTCCTTTGCCTACTATTCACCCTACTGTGACCCTGTTTGATCAGCTGAATTTAACTGGGTGTTTTGAAGTTCTGTCCATGCTACAGCAGTCTGAACTTAAAAATTGTTTATTATTTCTATTCCATAAAGTTATAACATCCAAAGAGAGGAGTCTTAGAATGTGTATGGACATGTGCACGAGTGTATATAGTGTTGTTACATGTTTGTCACAATATGCAGGCCTCTTACCTTTTTTTGATGGGCCCAGTCTTGGCCTTCATCCTCTCTTTGGTGGCTACGAGACATTCAAAGTCTGACACGATTATCTGTCACATGGTTCCAATCTTAAGATGCACAATTCAATCTGATCCAGTCAACGCAGTCCCACTTCTGACAACAGTTGTCATGTGTTAGTGACTACACAGAGGTTTTGGATTGATTACTGAATTTATTTAATGCTTATTACTCATAATTACAATTAGTTCTAACACTCACTAATCTACACAATTGCAAATAACCACAGCTGCGAATAACTGCTGTTTGTTCACTACTTGTGGCATGGTAGCAGCTTCCAACAGTGGAGAACCCTTTTGCAGCTTTTGTATTCACTGGCTGGCAGACTGACTGCTAACCACCGGCTGCATCCTTCCAACTCCTGACTGCCATCTTGAGCAGAGAGATAATTTGCTGCTGATCTTCACCAGCAGGTTCAGTCTTGGTTTTGAGCCCCAGCAGGACCCATGACCATATTTATGTTCATTCCAAGACCATTTAATGTGTATAGAAATGGGGTCTCTCTTCAGCCTCACTGCTGCTGTCCGATCTGTTGGGTAAATTGCTTCTGGCTCTTGCCAGTACGGTCATTCTTGGTTTCAGGTCCCATTGGACTTATGACCATATTTTTCTGTTTCGTTGCTTGTGGAGTCATTCATGCCTTCTGGCCAGTTGTTCAGGATTTGATGGTCCCCAGATCTGGTACGAATTTTAACGAGAGAGGAAACATCTTTATTCCTTCAAGGAATCAAACACTAATTGTCCAGCTTGTAACCAATCATTTTTTGTTTGAGCTGTTTAAACTCACTTCTTAAAACTTAATATGTAATAGTATAATAGTCTTCTTCTTGGTCATAAGTTTTATGTTGTTTTAAATAGGAAAGAAGAATGGAACGGAAAGCAAACATCCTAGCTTTTAAAGAAGAAAAGAAGAGGCAAGAGAAAGTTATGCTAAATAACAGGAAAAATATCCATGGCATCCACATTTTGTGAAATATAACATCATGCTTTCAAGGGACTGTGTGTCAGTTTATAAACTTTATGCACACCTGATTAGATTGGTGTATTCTGTAAGAAGTAAAGGTAAAAAGATAAACTTATATCCGGGCTTAATTAAGTGCCTCACCACGAAGATATGTGGGGGGAGTGGAAGTATAGCTTTACCATTCTTAACTTTGGCACTAAGTGAAGGTGAGGGGTCAGCTTCAATCCCCTGCCACTTTACCCTTGGGGAAACAGCATAGTATTCTTGTTTGGGAAGCTGGTTGGGCTTCAGATCTGGTCTGGACATTATGGAGTACTGAAAAATCTGTTTCCCCTACCTGAAATTGAATCCTGACTCCTAGGTCATGCAATCCATAGCCAAGTCACAATACTCATTGAGCTCTCCTGGCGCACTTTGTGTAATGTGAAATATATAATTTTTTACTAAGCCAGTATGGGTATATTTCCCTTGCTAACACTTTGATTTGTCAATCTGCTCTGAAAGTGTGGACATGTCTAAATAAGGCAGAGATGAACTCTTCCTGAGAATAATACGAGGGCTATTCAGAAAGTAACTTCCATTTGTTTTAGGCAACTAATGTAGGAGGGGGGGAGAGCTCATGCATGCGAGATAGCTTCACATGATTCATTGCCTTGCCAACCATCTTGTAACTGCTCACCTAGTGTTGGTTCTTGTCTGTACAGAGGGAGTTGTGATGTGTTCTGTGATTGATGATCCTGCCAGTTGCAAAATTCGCTATGTTATGCTCTTTCTTCACACTAAAAACATAAATGCCGCAGAAATGCATCATGAATTATGCACGGTTTATAGCCAAAATGTAATGAGTGAAGGAACTGAGACAGTGTGTAGAATGTTCAAAGATGGGCAAAGCGATGTTCACGATGAAAAGTGAAGTGGTTGGCCTTCTGTAGTGAGTGAGTGATCTTGTTTAAAGTGTTAGCTAAACAGTTTTTGAAAGATGGCGCTTCACAATTTCATATCTTTTGTATGAGTTTCCACAAATTTCACGAACAGTTTTCTATGAGATTATCACAGTTAGGCTAGGCTGTCACAAATTTCATGTAATATGGGCTCCAAAAATGCTTATGGGTGTGCACAGAACACATAGAACAGCTTTGGCCTTGACTTTGACTTTTTAGAACAGTACCACAAAGATGGTGACCAGTTTCTCAATCGCATTGTACGAGTAACAGGTAAAGAAACCTGGGTTTCATTTGTGATGTTGAAACCAAAGAACAAGCTGAGAAAGTTTAAACATATGTCTGTCAGAAAGCTGATGGCAGCTGTTTTTTGGACAGAAAAGGAGTGCTGATGGTGGAATTCGTGTAACAAGGGACCACAGTAATGTGAGAAGTACAGTAGAACTTGGTTATAACGTCATCAAAGGGACCTAAAAATAGTGTCGTTATAAACGAATGTCGTTGTAACCGAAATGGGCACTTCCACAGTAGCCTTATGTTAGTCACGTAAAAATCTACCAAAAACCGAGTTAAAATGTTGCATTTTTTAGTCAAATACGTAGTTAAGTACAGACTAACGTAACATTAACGTGGAATTGCCCAAATGTGTAATATCAAAGACATATTACAGCGCTTTTCACTGACAATACACACCGCACTAATACTGTATATTAAAGGTAGGCCTACTCACCAAATTACAGTAGATTACATCAATTGTTGTGCCTTACTGTACCTAGATACGAGTACAGTAATCAGTTATCTTNACACCAAAACAGTTGCATAGGGCCATTCAGAGGAAAAGGTGTGGTGTGATGACTTCCAGCATAGGGCTACTCCATGACAATGCATGTCCACAAACAGCTCCTTGGACTCAAGCACTGCTGGAGCATTTCAGCTTGGAGTGGTTTGACAGCACTCTAGCCCTGATCTCACTCCGAGTGACTACCACCTCTTTACCTACCAGAAGATCTGGTTGGGGTCATAGTGTTTCAACAGTAATGAGCAGTTGATGGAAGATGTCAAAACATGGCTGAGCTCACGGGTGGCAGATTTCTTTGACACAGGCATACATAAAGTTATTCCACAATATGACACGTGTCTCAGTTCTGACAGAGACTACGTTGAGAAGTAGCATAAGTATGTATGTATTTTTTTTTTATATTTTCACTTATGAGTGACTGTAGATGGGGTTTTGATTGGTAGTCAGATTTATTGACCACTTACAGATCTTAACTGCAGGTAACTATAACAGCAGCATGCACTAACTCTTTTTGGTCTGCTGTGTCTTCACCACAGGTTATCTGGTAATGACTTCAACAGCAAATGTTCTTTTCATTCTGGGTTCCCGAACTATCCCCGTGCCTCAGCTACCAGCTTCTTACAGCAGCAGCTCACAGTGACTTAACTGCAGCTGTCCTCTACCTAACTGATTGCTCACCAACTCACTTCACTCCACTGTACTCAACTGCACTGCAGTCACTAACTGAAGTGAACTTGGTCAAGTCATATAGCCTTGGAGAAGACCCACAGAAAATGTTGCTCACAACACCTCTTCTATTGTTGCGTGACATCACCACTTACATGACGTATTCCTCTGCTGCGTGTGTACAGGCTATTACCTAACGACAGTTCTACATGCTACATTTCTCCTCCTTAAGGCTGTTCATCCGGAATAGCCTATGGGCATACTGCCATTTCTTCTTTTCCTTAGTGGTGTACTTGTGACTTTGTAATTGGTCTGGCCTTCCTTCCCTGTGGCTTGATTCTCACAGTTATTTCTCTCCAGCTGATCCCTCCTTAAGGCCTCTCATCCCAAGTGGCTTCCTGATAAGGTGCGAGCGGGTCCAGATGTACCACCGTCAACCTTGATCTAGGGCTCAGCTGGATCCTGTATACCACATCATTTATCTGGGTGACTACCTTGTGTGGGCCCTGCCATGAGGATTGGAGCTTGGGCAATTTTCCCTTCATGCTGGTTGGGCAATAGAGCCACACTTCATTGCCCCATGGTAGCCCACACAGTTGGCTAGTCTGTCATAATGAGTTTTCATCCAGTCATTGACCTGAAGATGGTCCACTAAATTTTCTGCGTCATTGATTGTGGGTCATTCTTGTGAGGACAGTGCCCCAAACAGCAGGTCGCAGGGCAGTCAGAGTTCTCTTTGCAAACACTAGGCTAGCTGGGGTCAAGCCTGTAGGGTCATGAGTGGATGCCCTGTATGCCTGGAGGAAGATGGGTAATCTTCCACCCTGTCTGCAAACTCCTTGCCTGCCTCCCTCCTTATGTGGTTGTCTGATAGTGCAGAACAGGTGTTTGACGGTTGTGGCAAATTCTTGCCAGGAATTTCCAACACCCTGGACCCCTGTTTTTAGTTGACTGTGGTACACAGTGGCCAAGTGGCGGTCCCCAGAGTGGTCTTAAAGGTCTTGAGGGTTTCCTCTTAGTTTTGCTGGTTTCAGGATTCTGTGTAGCACATCAGTGGCCTGGCCCTGCCCTGCAAGGCGGTGATCAAATATGTGAATTTCTCCAGGTGCACGCAACAGTTGTGCTCTGCTCCAGTCATCAGGGGGGGTCAGTCATCCATGGTATGAGTTGAGAAATATATGTCTCTCAGTGCACGCAAGATAGGAGCTAAGGAGGTTCTGAGCCTACTTATCATTGAAAACTTGCATGAAAAGCATACCATTCTCCAAACATACTGCATACGTAAACATTCCAGCAGATCTTTATGGGTGTAAAACAGATTATGTTTTTGGATCCTTAAATTTAAAGGTAATGAATTGTGGGGCCAGCATCTTGACTGTAACAGTTTCACAATTTGTTTGGTGATCACATTGCATTTTCCATATAATGAGTTAAAAATATGACATGCTCTGATACTCAATGAATATCCAAAAGAATTTGTTGACTCTTTAATGAAGCCATTGATGAGAAATCATCATTCTTCAGACACAATGTACCAGGGCACTGTCATCATTTCATATGTTAAGGATACTTCCATGAAATGCAAACGCATTGGGAGCCATTCCAATCTCAGAACAATTTTAAAGACTAAATATACACTCCATGGGACATTGATGAGAACACAACCTGTTAAGAGATGCCTAGCAGACGAAACAGTGTGTGTACAGCGTCCCATGTGATTGTGGCAGATGTTACATTGGTGAAACAAGCAGACCTTTAAAAGTACATATGAAGGAGCGTAAATATAATCTGACAAGGATTTGCTGGAAAAATCAAAATTAGCCTAACAGGCATATGAGGAAGGTCACAAAATATGTTGGAATGAAGCAAAGGTCCTGCAGATTGAGCCCAACATCACATACAGGAAATACAAGGAATCAGCCCACATGTCTCTGATGGACTATCTGATCAGTCAACCCAGCTTGGATACCTCTCTCATCTGGACTCCCGTTATCACAGCAGACGTCAGAAAACTCAACTCCGTCAAGTGTAGATTTAGTGGGAAAATTTGTTTTTCTTGTGTTAGTACCGTAAGGAGTATTTCTTCTCCAGTGATTTCTATCTTGATACTTCTCTGGTGTATGGCCTAATACATGTAGACTTTTTAATAATTTAATGTTTTCTTAGCTCTTTATATGGTTTATGCTGTGTTAGGCTCATATATCTCATCTTGATGCTGGCACAGGTGTCCAGAGATAGAGACTAGCTCTATTGATTGGGCCCAACTGAGTAGGTTTTACAAGAAGATGAGACAAAATCTAGTTTTGGAAACGTTTTTTAAATCTAAANGTATATCTCATCTTGATGCTGGCACAGGTGTCTGGGACTAGCTCTATTGATTGGGCCCAACTGAGTAGGTTTTACATGAAGATGAGACAAAATCTAGTTTTGGAAACGTTTTTTAAATCTAAAACAGGACTGTTTTTAGATAAAGATAGGATGATGGATAATGTCCAGAAGCATATTATTTAATTTTTTATTTGGGAATTTAAAAAATTGTGTACATTTGTGAATATCAGAGTTTTTCAATAAAATAAAGTATTATAAAATGAAAGAATTATATTTTTGAATGGTTAATACTTCATACATTTTAGAAGTCTCAAAATACATTTAATTCAAATAATGAATTTATTAAAACCTCTCCAGAATTTTGAGAATATGCAAACTTAA